GATGACGTTGGACAGGCACTCTTATAAATCGAACGCCGTAATGGAAGATAATATGCCAATGAAATAAGCTCATGATCAATATAAATCCATAAAATATCCGTAACGGGAGGTATTTTGGATAAAATCTTTGATTAACACCAATGACAGCTGGTAAGGCAATGAGCCAAGTTGTATAGTGCCAATCGAGTTGATTTCGTTTTTCATATTTCAAATCGAATTGAATGAAAATGTATAAAATTAACCCTGTTACATAGCCAATGCCAAATACTGTTATTAACCAGCATTCTGGTGATGCTGCCTGAAATACGCTTATGAACAATGGAAAATATTTGGCTTTTTGTATGCACCATATCAGTTCGTCGTGATATGGTTGATGAATTATGGATGTTGATGGATGCAGATTGGTGAAATTGGGAAATATTCCACCAATTAAAATGTCGGAGTTGCTGAGTTGAAGAGATGCGATTAGAAGTTAATGATGAAATTCAAATGTTGAAATAATTATTATTATTATTATTATTTATTGCTTTTTACGTCTACTTAAATAAGCCGACGGTTGAGATTAGTACAATTTTTATACAAATAAATTTTTGGAAAGTAGTTTTAAAACTCTAGCTAGTTTAAATGAAAGTGAGTATTAGATACAAGTTCAGTTCAGTTTCGTTCAATAAATATAATATTACGTCAGTCACAGTTAGTGTGTAAATTCTTTGAATTCATATCTATAAAAATAGCAAGTTTATCACAGAAAATATTTGATTATTTAAGCTTATTGAGATCTCCAAAGGCTTTATCTGGTAATTTAATTAGCTTTTTCTGAAAATCATGAAAAGGCAGAGTTGGGTCAATAAAAAGGGCTGCAAAATTAAAAGCTCTACAGGCATAGTTGAGCGGAGCGTTTAAACCATAGTCAGAATTTGATATCTTGAGACGAATAAATTCAGGATTTCTAATCGTACGAACACCCGTGTTTAAATTTAGACTTTCTCGCAGCGTTGGTGAGTTTATTTTTCCGGATATAATCTTCTTAATAAACAATATCATTGCATTAACCCTTCGCCTCACTAAAGTATCCATTTGTAATTCTCGACATCTATCCTCGTATGGTGGTAATTTGTATCCATTCTCCTGTCGGTTAATAAAATCTTTTTTTAGATAGATAATTGCGCCCTTTTGTGAACTTTCGATGAATTTTTTGTGAGTTATATCTGACGGCGACCATATTATACTCGCGAATTCCAGGTTTGATCTTACTAGCGATCCATATAACATTTTGGCAACATCTAAGTTGAATGAATTGTAACATTCCCTTCTTACGAATGCCCAAGTATTTTCAGCTTTCTTTTTTATATATTCTCTATGGGCGTTAAAACTTAATTTCGTGTCCATTATGACTCCCAGATCTCTTATCTCTTTCACTCTTTCTATCTGCTTTCCTTTTATCGTGTATGAAGCTTCTATGCAGGATCTCTTGTGGTGGAATGACATAATTTTACATTTGTCAACATTAAGCTCCAAACCGTTGAGATCGCACCATAAAACAAAATTATCTATTGCTGATTGTAGCAGAGTTGTGTCGTTCAAAGTCTTTATTTTGACTGCTAATTTTTTGTCATCTGCAAAATTAAACGATCGAGTATTCGGGTTAGAGTCATCGGAATCATCAAAGAACGATAAAAATAGTAGTGGTCCACATATCGTTCCTTGTCCAATTGCTGAATGAGCTGTAAAAGACCTAGACGATGCGTTGCCGATTTTAATGAACTGTTTCCTTTCTGCTGTATATGAATCTATCCATTTCAATGTTTTATTTCCAATAGGGAATTTGGCCATTTTTCGCACAAGTAATGGTTGACTAATACTATCAAACGCTTTTCGAATGTCTGCATAAAAAACGTCCACTTGACACTTTTCTTCGAAGCCCTCATGAATAAACGTGGTGAATTCCATAAGGTTAGACTCAATACATCTGTTTGACATAAATCCATGTTGTTGTTTGGATAATCTTGGGATAAGTATCATTTTTAATTGCGAGTATACAACTTTTTCAAAAACTTTGGCCAAATTATACATAATTGTAACTCCTCTATAGTTCAAAACTGATGATTTAGTTCCATCCTTAAAAATTGGGGTAACACGGCCAATTTTGAAAATGTTTGGGTATATTCCCGTTTGGATTGAATGGTTGAAGATTTTACATAGAGGTATGGCTAGAAAATCGGCACATTCACGAAGAAATATCGGAGAGATGTGATCTGGGCCTTGCCCTTTGTTCAAGTCCATGGTACGCAAAGCGTGAATGACCTCTTCATAACTAATGCATAAATTAAAGCAGTTTACCTCGTTGCGTAATGCGATAAACTGCTCAATTTCAGTGTCTCTCGGTCTCTCCGTGTAAACCGAACTGAAGAAGTCCGCAAACATCTCCGCTTTCTCCTGATCATTCGTTGCTGATTTGTCTTTGTACGTCAATTTGCATGGTAATGAATTCGACTTTCTCTTAGAATTAACGTGGGACCAAAAGTATTTAGGATTTGATTTAAAATTTTCCGCCACATTGAGCATATGCTTATCGTGTAATTCGTTGTAAAGTAAATTGAATTCCTCCGTTGCTTTCTGGAATTTGGACTCATTCGCAACTGAATTTATTTTCCTCGCCGCACATACTCTTTCATATTGTCGATTTTGAATGTTCTTCAGATTAATGAGCTTTTTGCTGTACCATACTGGATACTTGTTATTGCGAATAGTTGCTTTTGGAATGTTATTTTCAATGATATTTTTCAGAACCTCGTAGAAGTCATCAAGCATTTTATTTACGTTCTTTGTTTCAGGTAATAATTGTTGAAAGTCTATTGAACTCAAAATGTCGCGAATAGTATCATAATTAGCTTTACGAAAACTGTATTGTTGAGTCGGGTTGTCGTTCACTGCATGCACTACAGGAACACACTCTACCATGATACAAAGTGGGTTATGTGCTTTATCGCTTGTTTCTGGGGGAATCAATCTACACGTCGCAATTTCTACTAATGTTAGTTCAGGTGAATTGGTGTATACCAAATCTAATACGTTTCCCGACTTGTTTTGAACATTGTTGAGTTGAAATAGCCCATTTTCAATCAATGAGCTCGAAATTTGCTTTGCAATCTTTGCTCTTTCACTTTCAGATTCACTGATGATTGGAATGAAATCAAAACCGTCGACATTGCTCGTCCAAGAAATGACTGGTAGATTGAAATCGCCCACGATCACTAAAATATCATCATTAGCTATATTTAGGCTGTTTATCGCTCTCAAATGATCCAAAAAAACTTCCATTTTAGAATCTGGTTGAATATATAAACAGTATATATACATATATCCGCCATATAATGGGAATTTAACGCAGAGCACTTCCAGTCTGTCCATTTCTGTTGTTTTGTGTTCTTCACATTCTATCTCTTCTAAAACTGCGATAAGCACGCCTCCACCTCTTTTCGCATTTATGTTGGATTCGTATCGATCTTTCCTAAAGACTTTATACCTATTGCTGACAAATTCGTTGTTATAGTGCCCGCTATTCAACCAAGTTTCTGTCAACACAATAATTTCATAAGGGGCTACACCCGATGACCGCAGAAAATCGTCTCGCACACTCATAACGCTTCGTATGTTTTCATAAAAAATTTATTAATTAATTATTAATAATAAATAATTATTTATTAATTACTTCTCAAGAAGTCGATTGAAGCCAGTAGAAATCAAATTGTCATCGAAATGCACTTTCAACTCCAAATGTTCCTTCTCTGCAATGGTTTCGATTAGTTTGAAATCGATTCCTTTGCCGAATTGATCGCGATACATGAATGGTTCATAGTATCGAGTGGTCACTCGTAAAGTCCGGCCTTGATCTTCTCGTGCGTTATGGATCTTGAATCCATGTGATGGTGAGAAGAAGATCCAAATGATATACAAGAGTAAAATGTTTACTCGAAGTATTTGAATCATTTTTACAGTCAACATTAGAAGGATTGGGATAAAAGTTTTAGACTTCTTTGTTGAGAGAACAAACAAACACTGAATATAGTTTCAGGAAATGCAATGATTTTATTTATATCGATATTTGGTTGATAATTTCTGTTGATAATTGAAATGGCAAATGAGTTCACTAACATAAATTGAAAGGAATAGATGGAAGGAGGTGAGATTGTATAATGTATATTGTAATAAACAGTGATTTCTTATAATTATGTATCACTAAAAAGATATTAACATATATTTAAGCAATGACGTGACAACACGTGACAACAAATACCAAATGTTAACTATAATTTTGACCATTTGGGTCAAAGATAATAAAGAGATAAACCTGTAGTAGTTGCTTGATTAAGCTGTAGTTGCTTGATTTTTATCTGGCTCGATCTGGCTGGTCGCCGAAAAATTACTAATAGAGCACGGAAAAGAGATGCTTTTATATTACTTTATGGAATTGTGACCATTATATGCGTTTTGTGTCACGCAACTTGTGTGTGAAGTGTAAACTGTATGTACCTAGTGTTGTTTCATTTGATTATCAACTAATAAAAGCTCATGTAGTCTATTTCTATTCCACTATAGTGGAAAGTGTGCTTACACCGAAGTGTGAGGTTTTTTGTTGCTTCATCGGTTAAATCGATAAGAGCCAATAAAATTCTTGTACGAATTGTATGACTTAACTATACTTGAACCGTACTACAACGCCTGATAGGTCACCCCTCTGGGATATTGCATGAATTCAAAATGTTACTAGAGTGTAAACAGCCAATTTTGGTTTTTTGACGTGTTAAAGAAAAACGGGTGATGCCATTGAAATCAGCATACCCAAATTATGTAAAAATGGTGGGTCTCGTCTCCATCACATTTTTAAAGTTAAAAAATGACGCACAGTGTAATTTATTCTCAATAATTATTTAGAGACATTACTTCAAAAATTGGAAAGAATGAATTGATTGGTTTCAATTCCGTTTATTTTGTTTTAGATCAAAATTCAATGAGATTTGGCAACGCATGGTGACCAAATTGGAATTAGGTAAAAAGTTGATAATGGATTTGATCGAACAGTCGGTGTCAGCGTACGAACAACGAGAAGAACTGTGCAACAAACTACAAAACCTTGACGGAAAATCTCATAATGAGCAAAATCTACATTTACAGGTACATTTAACCGTTCGAATTGTCCATAATTTTCCCTTCGTTCATCAAAAAACTTTTCCCAATTAGGAAATGCGTGAACTGCAACGTAAATTGGATCATGACATTAAACTGAAAGAATTTTTTGCGATCAAAGGTAATCTTCGTGTGAATGCTGAATTGGAGGCACGCGAAGTGAATCGAAAACAATTGCAACAAGAAATAGCCGACAAACAATTGACTGATTTACAAGATACAATGAAGCAAATTCAGGTATATTCATATTTCTATTCGTGTCGATTTCATTTGAAAATGAACTTGACGTGATTGAATTCTGCTGCAAAAAAACACGAATTTTAACCTTTGCAAACAATAATTGAGCATTCTCAGCGCTGACGAGCAACAATCTCGGTTTCATTCAATGATTTCACACCATGAGTTTCACTTTGCATCGCTTTGCATATTCAAGCGTTTGCTTTGTTTTCTTTCGGCGAGACACTGAAAGAAGAGTAAGCGTACGAGTGATGCTATTCATTGTTACGGCGGGTGCTTTGAACTTTCTTTTTCGGTATATTCAGTTTGAGACAAACCAGATGAATTGCAAACTAAATTCACTTTCATTTAACGAAACACAAATTCAATCCAATTCATTTCTAATTATCAATCTTCAATTGACTCATCTTTGTCTGTTATTACCTGCATGAATGATCGATTGAACAAATTGAATCGTCGTACCTTTCTGAATCTATTAACTTGAGTATTTGATTAATTGACTAGACAGATCAAGTCGCCTGGATTTTGAACATTTTTCAATTACTTTCATAGCACATGGCACCGTCAAGAGCAAACTGATTTAATCACACCAGTCAGTGTTACATTTCGAGGCAGAAACATTTATCAGACAACTATTAGGAGTGTGCATCTTCTCGAGAGCAAAGAGTTAATGTCTGTTTTATGTACTGGACTTTTTTCATTTTTTTTATTTTGACATTTTTCGTTCATATCTTGCACCTTTGTACAATTTGTGTCCTCCAAATTTTTTGGACAATTTTTCAGCAAAATAACTACGAATATAGAAAAAAAAACAAGAAAAATTCTTTCAAATCAGTTAAATCTATCAAATTTCTATGGAACATTAACATTTTATTTCAGAATATATCTGGTGAGACAGATTTCGATCAACTTTCGCGCTACTTCACCAAACAAGAAGACGAAAATTTTGCGCTGTTTAGCTATGTTAATGAGCTGAGTTATGAAGTAGAAGTGTTGAACGAAACGGTTCAAAAGATTCGAGATGATATTGGTAAGTTAAAGAAAATTGATTTGAGCACTTTTTCCAATGAAAAAATGACCAAAATCTGCAATTCACCTCTGGATGAATAAGTGACATCTCCGTTTAATTTATCGATTTTATTAAAATGAGTGATTTGGAAATTCCAAATTGGAATTGATGATTTATGACTCACATCCACACTATTTCAAAAGAATCACAAATGGAATTTCAGTTCCAAAACAATGAAAGCAGTTGCCTTAATCTCCTTAGTCCCAAATCTTTTAAAGATTGATATCTTCGAGAGAAAAAGAAAATTTCTTTTCGAATTATTATCATTTGAAAATTTAACCTTTTCCATTATTCTAACTACCGAGAATTTCTTCTTTACTGCCAATGAATTTTATTAAGTAAACAATTCGTCATATTTCCTAACTGCAACCGCGATGTGGGTCAAATAATGCATAATTTCAACAGAAGTTTGTGTGTATGACGCTTGGTGGTGCGATGGCGGTTGCATCTTGATTGAGCTAATTTGTGTGTGTGATGCGATTCGAAACAATGATGGTATCAATGGTCTCGGTGCTCATAAATTGCACGAGTTGAATGCATCATATGTCTGTTATTTCATTATGCATCACGTTCTTCGGTTGAATAATTCAATTTTACGATTGCACGTGTAAAAAAAAAGTCACTGCAACGGTAAACGGCGGCGAATGAGAAAACTCTCGACTCATAAAACAATCACAACGCACACAGTGTTTGCAAACATTTTGCTTTGAACAGCATGCGAACGATGAAGTCAGAATGTGAAAAATGAGCCATTTATCGTGAAGATTCATTGATAAAGTACATACAATTTACGGTTGGCTCTTATTGCATCTACGAATTTACAGTAATAACAACAATCTTCTGTTTCGTTTTTTTGAAATTATTTCTTGGCTCTTTTTGCTACATTGAATGATAATAATGTTGCGCGTTATTTTACTTGCCGTGATTTTAGATAAACAAAAGATTGAAAACGAGACAAAGAAACAAACGCAAAGAAACTCCACGATTGAGGTTCTCGAAGAACAATTAAAATTATGGACGACCAAGGTGAGTGGGAACAGAGTTAATATTGTGTGCGATGCACACTTTGGATTTATTGCACTGAATTACACAATCGCTTGCATCAACAATTTTCATTTTTTCACCGTTACTTTCTCGACGGCAGGCGGAACGGGCACATCAAATTTACATTGAAAATGAAAAGAAACTCGAAGAAATGCTCGACGGAATTGAAAAATTGTTTGGGTAAGCTAATTTTACTTTTTAGAATTTTGGAATTTGGCCGGGTCGGTGATCGACCATCGGTCTTTTCAGATCAATTTAAAAATTATTTTTAAAATATTATAAAAATATAATTTGAAATCGATGGACTTTTATTCAAAAAGAACCAATTCGAACGTTACGCCAACCAAAGAGAATGTTACGCTTGAAGAGGGTTCGGTCAATGGTCATGAAATTACTTAATTCCAAATTGAGAATTGAAATCTCACATCCTCATTCAATGTCATAAATAACACCAAATTCATTCTCGATCCAAAAAAATGATGATTTCTGGACCGCATCCAATTAGATAGCCATTTCAGTCAAAAACCACTTGAATTAAGTTTGTTTTCATAAACACACGACGAAGCCGGGTATTCAAATCGCTGAAGGCACGTATTGCAATATCAATGTGCATTTGCATGCATTTCAGCACATGCATATAAAAAACTGACGACTTCAAATCATCGCATCACAAAACAATGACTATTTACACAGTCGGCTGCTCACTTGAATTGAGCACCATAATGCGCAAGCAAGTGTTTTCTTTCATTTAAAGCAATTTTAAATTATGCTAATGTTACTTTTTTATGCTTCCTCCTACATTTTCGTTTCGTTTTGAAAACACGTTTATTTTCACAAGAATTACGAATGAATACGTTTTAAATTCAGCAATGAAATGGAAAGGCTTTTATTACTTGGAATGCAACACGTTTCTTTATCTGCATACAATCTCATTTTGCGAAAAGATCTCGAAAATCTTTGTAGAATTCATTTTCGGTTGCATTGGCAAAAGTACTTTGATGAAAGAAATAATAGTTAATTTTTGAATAAACTTTCATTTAATGTTTTCTCTTGAAATTTGAGATAAATTCACTCGATCTGACCTGAATAATAAATCGAATTTCTCAAAATCACTTTGAATATCTTTGCAGAATGTTGAACAACAATCAAGCACCGGTGTTGGATTTGATGTTTACGGAGCAAAAACTAACGATTCACAATGTTCGGCTGTTCTTGGGCATTATCAAAAGACGCACCAATTCGGTCATCAATCGCTTAAACTACAGCGATCAACCGTCGAAGATTCTGGCAAAACGAGATCGCGTACCAAAATTCAATATAAACGATGCGTCGGCCAATCATACGGCTGCGCCAACACCACGTTCTCCGAATTAATTCCATGTTTTGAAAAGAACGACCGAAGAGAGCATATGCTAAAATCTCTACAGGTTTTAATCAAATGCATCAAAACATGGATAATAATCTTAACCAGAATCTATTGGATTATCACAGACAGTACTTTTTCTTCACTTTTTTCCATGCTGATTCGCATTATATGCACATAAAGTATATTTAAATTTTAAATTTACATACTCTCACTTCTTATTTCGCATATTAATCGTTCTTTTTGCACCATTACATAATTCAAATTGAGTAATTTTCGTGTTAATATCCACGTAACTAGTCTTAAGAAGGTGGAAAACACATTGAAAGAGATAATAGTTCGTTGAAAATATTCTTTGCATTAAATTCATTCATAACATCTTATTTTTAAAACATACTCTTAATACCATCTATAATCTGCTAGAAATAACAAACAGTGATTCACAAGTGCTTACTCTCACAATTGTAATGCAAATATAAGAAATAAAGTGTGTGTGTTTTAGAGCAAATACGTTTGTTTTGAAATATGAACTGGCTGCAAAGCGCGCCATCTAATGGCAAATCGCGTAGTTTCAGGTAAAGTTTTCTCTTATCATGCAAGCTTTAATGCTTATAACTACCAGAAAATATGTCTTAATTGACATCGAAAAATAAAAAATCTATCGAATAACAAGCAAGAAACGAAAAATTCGAAATAATGTTCGGAGTTAGACTTGACTGACATCAAGTCATTGATGTGGTTTCGTTGTACTTTTTATTGTATTTTATGCTAGAACTTTTGATTTTCGATTTGATTTTTGGCTCCAATACATGAATTATCCAATTCACGCTGACGTATTTCTATGAATTTATCTCAAAGGAAACTGTGGCGAAATCCCACTTTGACAATTCTTGTCATCGCTTCAAAATAGCAAGTCTTATCACAACCTGTCTTACGTGTTACATTCCATTTATGGGCTTCGTATGATCTTAATTAAATAAACTCATAAAACATAATAATTTGACATAAAAATCTCAATAAATTGTAGAAATACGGCTTGATTGCAATACTTTTGATTTGGAATAGAACATTTTGTCGTAGAAAGACACGATTCGGAATAAAACTTACATATTTGTTAATAACAAATCGTTATTAGTTTGGTTGAAGAAGGAAGGAAAAGGTAAGAGTAAGAGCATGGCAAACTCCACTATTATGTTTGCGATAAAATGTTAAGAGACATAAGAAATGGATGATTAATACCATAAAATCTCACACTAGTTTGTCCCTTTTCACACCTCAGATGGACTGGAGAAGCGAGATGAACCATATGCTGGCTGTCTTTGATCGCCAGGCAACAGCTTCCTTGAACAACATTAAAATTGCATTCGAACGCAATGGCTTATTACTAAATGCCGAATTCAAGCAGTTTTTTCTGGATACTTCATTCGATCGGTAATATATCAAAACTTTCAACAAATTAGTAGCGCATTTATTGATTTAAAAAAAATAACTTAAAATTTGTTCAGAATCAAGCTTACGTATGGCCAATTCGAGTTCGATACCACGTTGGCGAGAGCCAACTTTATCGCAGATGATGCTATAGACCAAAAAGAACCAGAAACACAGGAGAATTCGTCTGACTATCAATACGGTATTGACGATATAAAAGTTGAATTAAATGATGTTGTTCTATTTGACTACGATGAAAACAACGCCGAAATCCTAGAGACAAACTCGAATGGCCTCAATTGGCAAAAATATGCTTCGCCCCACACACCTCAAAGTCACATTAGACCAAAAACTGTCGTCGCAGTGAAATCAGAAGAAATTGATGTAGACGATGGCGAGGATCGTGATATTGACACAACAAACATACCCACATCTACCGTCACTTCGATCGATCGACCGAACCACATTGATGATACTGAACGTAACTACGAAGCCTTCGCAATGGAATATAAGATGAGACAAAGATCAACCACACGTTCAAGAGCCGGCAAATCAAACCAATTGGGGATGAAGAAGCGATTCGAATGCGAAATTTGTGAATTTTCCAGTAAATATAGTCAGAATCTTAATCGTCATATGTATATCCATACCGGTGAGAAGCTATATCGATGTGATATTTGCAACAAAGAATTCGCAAGAATAGATCATTTGAAGAAGCACCAAGTGACTCACACCGAAAAAATCCCGTTCCATTGCCGATTCTGTTTCACTGGATTTCCGCAGGAGGTTGAAAAAGATGCCCACGAAAAAGTGTGCAAAAGACGTCGATATGAATGCCATATCTGCAAGAAGTTTACCAATGTGTCTAAAGTTCACCTAAAAAGGCATATGCGAAAGCACAGCGGCGAAAAACCGTTTCGATGCGAGATTTGTATGATGCGTTTTACACAGAAGTCTAGTATGAACGCTCATTTGGACAACATCCACGCCAGAAATCCGAATTTCTTACGCAGCAAATAAATATTATAAAAATAAGCGGCGAATTTGATTCGCCTTAAAGTAGTTTGTCTATAGCGCAAACTCAATTAGACAGTTCATGTCATCGCTTCAAAATAGCATAATGGTTGACACGTTTCCTAACACAAAGTAAATTTTATACGTTCTATATGACATTTTCCTAATACAAATAAAAATTTCATTCTTCATCGCGAAAATACTGTACCATTTCAATGTCTTTGATTTTTCTAAGAGTTTTCCATAAAAACAACTACAATAACATTCATATTTGTCATTAATAATTTGCCGGAAGGACGAAGTGAAAGGTAAGTATTCTTGCTCTTGGCATGAATATAAAAAAATCAAGCGAAATTTTGAGTTTTGTTGAGAATTTCATATAAAATCGAAAAAATTAGTGACTGAATACATTAGTTACAACTGTATATTCATCAGATGAATGCATCAACAATAGACTGGAGAAACGAATTGAACAATATGCTGTCCGCGTTCGATCACCAGGCAAGACTTTCCTTAAACAACATTAGAACGGCATTCAAATTCAATGGCTTATTGCTCAACGAAGAGTTCAAGCAATATTTTTTGCGGGTTTCAAATGATCGGTGAGTAAAAATATCAACGATTTGGTGGTGTTTTTGTTAATTTACTATCGTTTATTGTGTTTAGGATCAAGCTTACGTATGATCAATTCGAAAGGAATGCGATGTTTCAAGATCAAATTGCATTTGGTGCACACGAGAACATGCCAATTATTGGATCCCAGATGTTCAACTCAATTACGGAGGGTTATTACATGACTGATCCAGATGAAATCGTCGACACAAGTGATGACTACGATGGTACCGTAGACCGAATTAAAGTCGAATCATCAGAGACCACGTCTCTTTTTCAGTTTGACAACATTCGAATTAAATCTGAATTGAACGATTTTGTTCAAAGTGACGACGAAGGAAGTTGCGTTGAAGTTCCAAATTTCAATGAAGAAATGGAAATCGGCAATGGCATTTCGATGAATGTCGTTAGTACAGTCACATTGAATAGTGAATCAAACATCGCTGATGGCACTGAACCTAATCAGGAAGCATTTGCAATCGGAAACAAAAAGACCGGAAGAGGTCCAAGAGCAGAAACTAAGTCGGGTGCGTTCAGAAAGAAAATGTCCATAAACCAGGCCGAGATGAAGAAGCGATTCATGTGCCAAATTTGTGACTATTCCAGCAATTACAAAGGTAATCTCGATAAACACATGCGTACTCACACTGGCGAGAAACCGTATCAATGTGAAATTTGCCGCAAGAAATACTCACATATACAAAGCTTGACGAAACACAAAGCATCTCACATCGATGAATTTCCATTCCATTGCCGAGGTTGTTTCAATGGATTTTCCCAGAAAGCCGAAAAAGATGCACACGAAAGTTTTTGCAAAATACATCCATATGAATGCTATATTTGCAAGAAGTATGTCACTTTGAATAAAACTATGATGAAAATTCATATGCGAACGCATAGCGGTGAAAAACCATTCCGGTGCGAGATTTGTATGATGCGTTTTACGGTAAAATGTACGCTGAAATCACATTTGAACACCATCCACACCAGAATCAACCCATAAATTCAATCCTTCGTTCATCATTTCTACCGAATTGCTTCAAAAAGTGTAAACACGTTTATTAAAAAAGAAAACCAAATTAATTTGTTTTTATTTACGACAGTTCGAATAAGATAAATTATTGGAACATTTTCAAGGAAATGATTCATTTTACCAGTTTTACCAACATTTGATATCACTTGGTAGTGACATGTTTTGAAGGGCAAACAATTATCTTCTCAATTGTTTGGAGAATTTTCCGGTTATTTCCGGCAGTCCTCCTATCCATCTGACTGGGTCAAAAGAGTTGTGATGGTACTGGCCTATAAAGCTGCACTGATGAGCTGTATACAGAGAAATCAATCACTTCGTAGGTTTGACATAAACATGCAATTGCGTTTTCATAATGTTTGTGAATTGGGCATTTGGTAATGCTAAAAATTGCGTCAGTATAAGAAGAGGCCGTTCATTTTCTTGAAAATGTTCCAATAATTTATTGTAAATTCATTGTGATTCATAATTTCTAAGGCTTTTTTTATAATAAGAACCATTTTCAGTGTGGTTAGATTCGAATAAATGATCAATTTTTAGCCAACTTCTGTATTGAAAAAACTTTTTGTTCCAAAATAAAATGAAAATTCATGTACCATTAAGTTGAATCTATTCTAATTATTCTTTGAATTTAAGTCTCATTATTTTGACGGTCAACATAACATGCATGTTGAAATGTTTCATTTATATTTAAATTCCCTACCCAGACATTATAATGAGATATTTTCAGCCAGATGAATCAGCTCAGCCAGATATCATCAGGAGCTGAAATTGAGTGAAAATAAAGAGTCTTACGGGAGTAAGACGAACTTTTCCGCACGGTGGTAGTTGCGTATTTTATTAAGAAAGTTCAAAATAATATTTGTTCGATTTTTCAAGCCTTTCAAGCGTCGTAAAGTTCGAAACCAAACAATATGTTTCAACTTTGGCAACGAAATATTCTTTAATTTAATAGCAGAAGTACCCGAAAAAAGATTTTTAACACTTTCATGATGAACCCATTTGTGCGGCATTTGAAAGTATTCTATTTTCAAACAAAACACTATAAAAAAAATGTCTGACGTTAATTTTGCCATAAAAATTATTTTTGAAACACTTTTCATAACTAAAGTCACAAAAATTTTGGATTTTTGTATGGGAGCCATGTCTGTATGCTACCTTAATGGCATGAAACTTTGTACAGGTTATTTCTTTCACCAAAAAATAACATTCGGAGGGTTTGGAGAAATTTCAACCAAAATTAAGGGTACCTCCCATACAAAATATTCGTTTTTGAGCCAAAAATTGTAAATTTTGTATGGGAGTTACCCCTAATTTTGATTGAAATCTCTTCAAACTTTCAGAATGTTATTATTTTGTGTAAAAAATAATCTGTGCAAAGTTTCGCGTCATTAAAGTAGCAAACGAGCATGGCTCCCATACGAAAATTTAATTTTTTTGTGATTTTTCCAAGGAAACTGTATCAAAAATTGATTGTGTCTCAAAACTAACCTCGGATTCGGTTTTCTCGTGCCAAAAAACCCTCCATTACATATTTTTGAGTGTTTAAGTCTACATTAAGTATGACTTTT